ATCGTGATTTTACACGAAGAGTTTACAAAATTAGCTCAAAAATATGCTTAAAATCAAGCATTATCATTCCCTCGAGTTTTGCAAGTTTCTCATTTAGAACCTGCCTCCGTTAATATTTCCGAAAATCCTCCGAAATCTTCCCGTATAAATAGATAAACAAATAAACATTTCAGAATAAAGAAAAAGGAACATTCCCAGGGAAAATTTTCACGCGACGAAGCAACAGGGGGAAAGAGGAGAACCGATCAAAACTGTCCAACTGAGCTTTTTCCTTAATGCATTTCTTACCTATCGGCGAGACAGAAGAAGTCGAGAAGGTAAAAATTGTGGTCGCGTGGACGCTGCGTTCCATAAATCATGATCCTAATAAAGTGCTGAAACGTGTCTCTTTCTGCTTCACCCGCGAGAAGAACAGATCGTTCAATTATACTCCGTGACGAAGTTTTAAGACGAACTTTACGACAATTAAATCGAAAGAAGACGAAGGAACTTCTGAAGAATGGATCGAAGAAGGCCACCTAAGGGCCACCTAATTATCTTCCCTTAGCTACGATGGTACGAGACAATTTTTACAGTAATTTAAATGGTCTCAAAGGGCGGACGAGAGTGAAGAAAAATTTCTTTGATGGTAGAAATGGCAGAAAATGAAAGGAAGTCTCGTGTTTGATTAAAGATTTTACAATCCAAGGTCATTTTCAGATCATTCGTATAAAAAAAGATGGATAACCTTGAAGAACCCAAAAGAAAAGGTTTTACAATTCTTTGAAACCATTTAAATTACGCGCAACCGCAGCTAGAGAAGATAATTAGACGACCTCTTTTAAACGGCCCACCCTGTATATTACGACATTTTAGTGTTTAATTTAGAATGAAATTTACGAAGATAAGGGATGCAACCATCTGCGAATAAAAATCAAATTCTTCGATTCACTTTTACGTTCGAAAGAGACATAATCAACGATCCCCTGTACAGGATCCACGCATTTACGATCCTCCTGGCCATTGTCGGGAGACCAAGGGACAGTCGTGGATGGTCCGTTACATGGAAAAAGCTTGTCCGTGGGAAAAAAAGGAAAAATATGAAAGGTTCGAGTCGCTCGAGGCTACTTTTCCAAATTGCAAATGATACTGGATACTGGCATTACTTTTACTGTGCCTGCACCATAACCAGAGCTTCGCATTTCTCCTTTACACGCTCTCCTCGTTTTACTACTGTTCTTTTCTTTCTTTCTTTCCCCCCCCCCTTTTTTTTTTTTTTTTTTTTTCCCCTC